GCGTTTACAGTCAGAATGGGGCATGACTAGGGGAGTTGAGGTAGTGGGGATTGCGCGAAAAGAGGACGATGTCATAAACAGTAGGAAGTATTCGATGAAATAATAGTAATAGGTTTCTTTCGCAACTGGCAAGTCCACTTTCCCTTTGATGGCCAAGTTTCTGGATTGGAGGTGGCTCATGGCCAGCTGAATTGCTGCTCGGAGTGCTGTGCCCAGTGGTCCAATTGTTCTGCTTTGCTGCATATCGGGGAGACATTTTGGTCCCTGATCATTTCACTGACAAGAGGTTTCCGAGGATCAGTCGAACGAATCAAGTGGAACAATTTGCGCACGTTTCCAGCATTCTTTGCATCTTCCATTTCTTCGGCATTTCGAATCCATCAAGCTTCTTGGTTTGCGAGGACACTCATTTTTACCTGGCGTCGGATGATGCGCCGGGTGGAGTTTTGGTGGCTGTCAGTTGAATTCGTGGCCGGGTCTCCAGCAAAGACACGGTCCTATCAGAGATCCAATGCTTGGATGAGGTTAGCTGGGTTGTATCGCAAGCAGACACTCTTGCTTTGAGTAGCGCCTCGGGTATTTTTTCCCAGTGGCCGTTTATATCCGACACCGTACCGTCCGGCAGGCATTCGAGGAGTCGCCAGGTCTCCAGCAAAGATCCATTGCTTGAATGAGGTTGGTTGGGTTTGACTTCAAACAGATGTTTCGGTTTTGAGTAGCACTTTGGGTATCTTTTCATAGTAACCGTATATATCCGACATCGTACCACCCAACAGACGTTCGAGGAGCTGGTTCTGAAAAGTTCTGACGGCGATGTGGCCTATTTGGATTCGGCGCTGGTTTGATGGTGGGCACCACGTTGTCAAGCGATTTCCGCTGTTCTGGAAATTCGTACCGCTAAGCAACAGTATGTGATCGGCACACATCTGAAGNTGGAACAAACCCTTGAAAACGCTATTGCAGTGCAAATAAACCAAATTAAGGTTCTATTAATAATTAAAATCCTAAGGAGCCTTTAATAAACTCCTCATACGTCACAAAACTGAAAAGTCGAAAAGTTGTGGTAATAGTGACATGGATCATGGTAAGTGTCTCCCGCCAAGCCCAAGGAGAGTCACGTGGACCCCATCTTGTAAGGTGAACAATACCAACAACACCCAAACTTTACGTGACATCCATCATTCCCTCCTACCGTGTTAAACTTTGTCTACCTCTGGCTTTGCGCCATATCAAATTAGGTACAAGAAACAGTGTTCATCTTGGCAAATGATAACTCAGCCAGACTAGATTGCACTGCTGGATGTGTTCACTGAGTGAATGCGGAAGTAGGTGACCACTTTCTATCAGCACGAAGGACGAATATGTGCATAGGATGCATACATGAGGGATCGTTCGTCCAACTATGTGGAGAAAACTTATATTGGACAGGAAAGCAAGGATACCGACGATTTGCTGCACGGCACACAGATCGCTGCACCACATGGTGAAGCGAACTTGCGCTGTAAAGGGACATCGAGTGGATTGGCGAAAGTGAATCATAGCATGCGACCAAGCATTGATTCTTGTAGGACCGCGTCTGGAGACGACCTTGTCGGAATAACTGGACATCGCGACGGGTGAACGGCGAGCGGCCAACGCACCAGGAGAAGTAATACCCTGATTGGTCAGAATATAGGCCAATCAGGGACGGACATATTTAGCCTGGGGCATCACAGCTTCAGTGATGGACCATTAGCCAGAAATTTCGCGAGGCTGACTCGAGGTTCGTCTCAGAAAAACGAGTAAGCTGTCGGATGAACAGCATGCCGCCTAAAAGGCTTCGGCCTCTACTGGAAAGAGGTCTCAACTACTTTTCAAAATTTTTCCCGCGTAGAATCCGAAACCGCTGTAAATCAGAAATTTTTCAGTGGAACATACGAAAGCAAGCCATCGTACTATAACTCGTCTGGAGAAGCCAAAATGGACTGGTTAGTTACTTGAGGCATCGCCGTTGAAACAAGCCAAACACATCGACCCCGATGAACGGGGAACCCACGAGTGACACAGTGGTGGTTCATGAAATCTACAGAGAACGCGGTGCAGACCTGTATTCCGCCCCATTGACGTCTTCACACGCAACCTTATCAAGGTCTCACAACAAACGGCCTCTAACCGAGTTGGGTTTCACAGGTGAGGACATTCGTTAACTCATGCAAAAGGCAAACCCATTGTGGGGGCTGGGGTCAGATGAAGTCCAACCAATGATCCTGAAGTAAACGTCGTTCTCACTGGCAGGGTATTTCTAACTGATATTTCTTCAGTCACTGGACGAAGGCAGTCTGGGCTTTCCTGGGAAGAAAGACATTGTCATGCCAATCTAAAAAACTGATGGTCGAGTATCGCACGGCAGCCACAGGCATATTCGCCTCACCAGGGTACCGTGCAAAGTGATGACATGCGCTCTGAAGTGGGCCATCCTAGATAATCTTACTACCAAAAACTTGATATTTTCAACTCAACAAGGTTTCTTTTGGAAGCACTCTTGCATGGAGAGCTTAAACCAAGCTATGGACGAGGATCTCATATTGGATGGAATACCTTCAGATCTATTGAAAGCATTCGATTGAGTCCCAAACGTTGCGCTGCCCCTCAAACTCAAGCCATAGGGGACTGACGAGGAAGCCGCACGTTAGATTTGGGTGTTTCTAGGAGAGAGAACGATCCCAGTGAAATCAGGCTCGCCCCGATCATTTCCGGCGCCCATCCCAATTAGAGTTTTTCGGATATCCATAATTGGAGCACTGCCGCTTCAGATCAACGCCAACTTCACTCTAGACGTTTCCCAGGCCTGCGGATAAATCAAAATGCTGGAGTTTTACTGCCAGTGCCCTCCAAATGGATGTGGACACTGCAAATGTTAATCATTTGACTGGCATCTTCACCTGAATGGCGAAATTTGCGTCTATATGTCATTCGGGGGGAACTCAACCAGTGCCTTTGTCGTGCGTGGTAACGAAAGACATCGCGAGGATTCATGCCATAAAGGGTTTGGGTATCTGGCTCTCTTCAAAGTTGACATTTTCATTCCATCACGAGTAACCGGGTCAAAAGGCGTCCGCTGTTCTACAGATGGTTCAGCGCACCTTCTCTTGTATTGCTCGCATGGACTTCCAAATACTGCATGAGACCTACGTCAAATCGCTCCTTGAATATACCAACAAAGTTACTTACTCAGGAAGCCTGGAAAATGTAATCCTCATTAAGCGTGTCCAACGAGCCACCACGAGGACTTTTGTGGGCCTTAAATACGTGAGCTACGAAACGTGTCTCCCGCTGCAAGACCAGTTATCTCCTGTAGTATCTTCAACTCCGAGGAGAACTGATACTTACTTTCTCCCTGTTTAAACAAGGTTTAGCCAACAGGTTTTTCACCTTTGATCCAGCCGACACGCGGCGCGGACCTGGTCAAATTTTCATGTCCAGTGCTCTCATTTTAATTTGGGGAAATGCCTTCTCATGTAGGAGACAGCTTACCAACAATGTGATCCCGTTTCCAACCCCATGCGACAGCCAATCCCCATATTTATTCCTCTTGACAAAGTGGGATGAAACCTTCTTGTTTTACTGAAATATTTTTATAAACCTTACGGACGTTGGTCGGACATTGTGATTTTTGCGGTTGCTCGCCTTCGATATCCGTTTCGTTGTGACGATATTTATTTTGAGATGGAGTGATCTGCTCTTTATCCCTCAGGCTGGTGATTGTACAGACTTTTTTTGTAACCCTGCGGTATCTGCAGAGGAGAATCCGTTGAGGTTTGCTGAAGATGTGCATTACAATCTGTGCAGTAGTACCGTGATTCCAGAAATCGGATTTCTTGTTCGTTTTCGTGGACTGACACGCGTGAATTAACCTCAAAAAGCAGATAGCGTTCTTGTTCGTTTTCGTGGACTGACTCGCGTGAATTAACCTCAAAAAGCAGATAGCCGTGGCTTCATTAAGGCCGACTTCCCACTGCTTGGAAGGAAGCGATCTTCACACGAATCTGAAAAACTGGTGGCCGACTATCGCCTGGCAGCTATAGGCCTATAAGTCTCACTAGCGTACCGTGCAAGGTGATGGGACGCATTTTCAACCGAGCTCTCCTAGATAATCTTACTTCCAGCAACCTGATATCTCCAGCAGCTATAGGTAAGTCTCACTAGCGTACCGTGCAAGGTGATGGGACGCATTTTCAACCGAGCTCTCCTAGATAATCTTACTTCCAGCAACCAACC